CAGTAGACAGTTGTTAAGACTTATTAAGGAAACTGGGGGGAAAAGGTCAACAACAGTTAGTGAGGCTATAGCGTAGAAGGATGGACCAGCGATTCACTCGCAGGGGAGACAACTGGAACGAGGGGCAGAACACTTCGAGGAACAGCTTACCTGGCCTCCAGTCACCATTGCGTTGCCCGCTATCCATTCGGATCCTGAATGGGACATAGAGATAGGTCCCCCAACATTAGGAGAAGTTGAGAAAGCGGTAGGTAACCTGAAACGAGGAAGGGCAGCAAGACCAGACGGATTACTTGCTGAGGTATACAAGGATGATGGTAAGGTGCTCTCAGTCAGGTTAACGGAAGTGTTAGCTATTATATGGGAATCAAATACGATCCCCTCCGACTGGTCTAAGTCACTGACTATCCCAGCCTTCAAGAAAGGCGAGAAGTCCTCTTGTGATAGCATAGGGGAACCAGCTTGACTAACATAGTGTTTAGGATTCTAGGTTTTATAATTTTTCGACGTCTGGGTGGAGCTCGGGAACAACAAGCCCGAGAAAACCAAGCAGGCTTTAGACCTGTCCGCGGGTTTATCAACCAAATATTCACACTGTGCCAGGCTCTGGAACACAGACGCGCTTACCGGCGCTCGACTACAGCTGTGTTTCTTAACCTGAAGGCGGCATTTGACACCGTTGATCGAGAAGTCTTATGGCAATGTTTGGCTGACAATAGACAGTGAAGTGGTTGAGTGTGTTAATCACTTCATTTACCTGGGAAGTAGGATCAGCCCTGATGGCTCAGTGGCCGGTGAAATCTCTGCACGGATACAAAAGGCTCGATTGGCTTTCGCCAGTTTACGCCACCTGTGGTGCGGCCGTGATATCCGATTGTCTACTAAGGGTCGCGTGTACTGAACAGCAGTCTGGTCTGTTCTACTGTATGGCTGTGAAACATGGCCAGTGAAGATGGAAGACATGAAAAGGCTTCAAGTGTTTGACTATCGTTGCCTTCGTAGTATAGGACGTATTCCGTGGTGTCACCATGTGAGTAATGCAGAAGTCAGGAGTAGAGTTCTAGGGAGAAGAGGTAAGTCGGTAGACGAGGCTGTGAACCTTCATAGACTGACATGGCTGGCTGGGACACGTGTTACGTATGCCTAGTTGCCAATTGCCTCATCACACAATGTTGGCCGAAGTAGGTCCAGGGTGGGAAAAGGTCCGAGGTGACCAGACTAAAACATGGCGCTAATGTATGAAGCCTCTGACTGTTGGTTTGAAGTGTCTGGGACGATGAAGACTAGGTGGTTGGGGTCCGCGGGACAAGAGGAACCAGTGGTTGGAGACTCTAGAGGATGTGGCTCAGAACCAATGTCAGTGGGGCAGATGTATACATACATTATCCTCATCTTAACGGTGCTATACCGAATCTCACCACTTTCTCATTCTTCGTTTCTCTCTTTTATTGCTTCATATTTCTTTTGACTGAATTATCTTTTATTCATCTTGCTCCTCACTTCCTTTTTACTTGATGTACTGATATGTGGTGTGGCAAGTGGGACTGTTGCGCAGTAACACCTGGTCCTGGGTTCATCTGGATGGCTGGAGGCAGAAAATCGTATTCACGCACAGAGCAATCCCGAATCACGTGACCTGAACTAATTCGTCTTTGTAAGCTGCATTTCTCGGGATACACACCGCGGATAAGGTTAGCAGCAAACGAGTAAAACTGCCATCCAGTGTTAAGATCACTATGATCTGTTTGGCGAAATTTACAGATCAGACCAAGTACTTGCCAACTACTCAAGCTGTTCACTAGTGCATTTCAGTAGTTCATGACACTTTTGTGTCTAAGATCTTGGCTGCGAGTACTTTCCAGCGGAAACCCTGTTGATAATATAGTTTAGGAATACAGAAACCTTTCCAGTGACCTTTCTAGTTTTTGCTCGTAAGACTGAATGTTAGATAGCTCCTCTTTGTAATGTTTTTGGACTTGATGAATGCTGATGATAATCGGAAGAATTCAACCAACAGCTGGAATCAGACAACATGGAATTGGTCGCTTCTCACTGCTCAATCGGTACATGTTATCTAGTTCTACTTTAGGTCAACTAGGGTCCGAATACTTCACCGGTAGCCATTCTGAATATATACCATTGCATGACACCGTACTGGATCTCTCAGGAGGGAACAGTTTCACTGAACTTGACAGTTCACCATAGTGATGAAAGTCAACAATAAGAGAGTCTAAATAAACGTTCAACCAAAATTGCTGAAGCATGAACGTAAGAAGATCCTGAGAATCTTGATTATGAAACACCTATTGAACCATGAACATAAGATGAATACTTTTAAATCCTTCATGATTATTGGTGAACAGCAAAATCAGAAGATGTTCAAAGTCGCAGAAGCTTATGCGACTTGAGCTGTTACACCAAGCCTCTGCGTTCAGTGGGAAATGCCAATTAGCTTGATTCTATCATGGTAGAAATTGCAATGTCGTCCAATCATATTCACTCTTCTCTACTGGTTCTTTGCCTTCAATTATGACGCCTATCTCATACTTCCAGCCTTTCATTCTTGCTTTTCTAATGATGTCATCTTAAGTGATTACTAACTATCCTGCTCAAAATGACATAATCTGACCTAGACTGATTCAATTCTCAACCCAGTGTCAAAATTACTACCATTAATGTAAGCATTAGCTTCATACCCGAAGAGGACAAGATTCTTTAGACTGTACTACAATACAAATTCTACTTTGATGATTGAAGATGGGATAAAAATCTAGGCCACGAAGGGATTCGAACCAGCCGCAGCAACCTATTTAATTTGAACATACAATGCTACCCATAGGAAGTTGAGTTTCAAACAATGGGTCACGGGTTCGTAATCCACTCAGCCTATCGGGGTTTGAGCAATCAGGTAGTATCAATAGCTTTTACTACATAATAGGTGTGAGCTAACAGAAGTTGGAAACATGGACCATTGGATTTTGACCCAGTGGCTCTATGGTAAGGCGCTGGCCATAGAACGTGAAGGTTGCGGGTTCGATCTCTGGTGGTGCGGGGTAGTGGGCTCGCACTGCTGAGGAGTCCCATACTAGAAGGAAACAGCTGTCCAGAGCTTCCAGGTTTCCTTTGTTCCTCCAACTGATGTCAGTCTACGATGAATAACAACTTGAAATAACAGGTGTGGCTCATCGCCTACTTCTGTCAGTAGGAAATATGAATCACTGGATTTCAACCCAGCAGCTCAATGGTAACGTGCTAACCACGGAACCTTAAGGTCCTGGGTTCGATCCCTGGCTGGGTCATGGGTGCACCCTGCTAAGGGGTTCAGTGCTCCGAGTTCCCAGTGTTTCTTCAACTGATGTCAGTCCATGATGAGTACCAATCTGAAGTCAATAAATCTCCAAAAACCTCGAAATTTGGATTTCAGTCTGTTGTGCGCTTTAGCCAGTAAGGTCACGGTCACATTGACTTGACATGAATCACTCTGAAACTGATTAGTTCATACCTCACTTGTCATCCACTTCACCCTCACTCTCGGTCCTGTCAACCCCAAGCAAAATATTAAGCCACACCATCCCCTGGATTCAAAACTACGACCGGAACAGCCTGGCTGGCTGGATTCAGGAAGAACAAATCATGTGCGCATCAAATTGCAACGCTACACTACGCATCATCATAGAACAGACCATAGAATGACAGTCAACCTCATACCTCAAATTCAACCATTTTGAAAAGGTCTTCGATAGCGTCGAAAGAGTAGTAATTTGGAAACTGCTTCAACGCTACGGATTAAGTGCCACAAAACTTTATCAACCTTATTCAACAGCCATATGCTATATGATGTTACATGCCAAGTGATTCACAACGCAATGGAAACCTCAGTGATGCCTTCGAAGTGAAGACAAGTGTAGGACAAGGTGGTTGCCATCTACTACCACAAATGATCTTCTTGATTGTGGTCGACTGGACTGGACTGGACTAGATCATGCAACAGACAATTATGAGGAGCTGTGAGGAGATGGGCATACGCTGACTGGACCTATGAAAAGAATCCAGAAGAAGATTTGGATTTCGCCGCCAATGATGATGATTTATGTTTAGTATCTTGTCGCACAAACTCGAAGATCTACAGGCGAAAACCAACAGGTTGGTAGAAACAGCAAGGCCGCGAAGGAAGACGGGACTTCCTTCAGGTGAATGTAGAGAAGACAGGGGTGGTTAAGATATCCAACCAAGAACATCAACAACGAAAACAGCAACAACAATCGCCATTCACCATTAACGGGAGAAATGTAAAGGAAGTTGTCTCTGTCTATGCAAGGCAGCATCGTTTCAACTACAGACGGTGGTAGTAGCATACATGAGGATGTCATATCCATCCAGGATTAGAAGGACAGCAAGACAAACCTTCCTTCATTAATCTGAAATCAGTGTGGAGATCTACTGCACTCAACTCCACTCCACTCAGCATAAAATGTGGACAAGATCTGGATTTTCAACACTGTTAATGTCAATCAAGTATGTCAATGCTTCTATGTGATGATTGAGGGACTTGGCGTGGTACGGAAAGGATTTCTAACATACTGAAGAAATACATCAAAAGCTGCCTACGCTTGACATTGAAGATCATATGGATGGCGAGAATAATAAGAATAACTAACAAGGAACTTTGGTTGGCAATGAATCGACCAAGAACCCGTCACCTAACTAATATGCAGAAGAAAGTAGAGATGGATTGGACATACACTGTGGAGACTACCTGGTGATATCACGAGCCAGGCCGTCGAGTGGAACTGATATGAGAAACGACGAGTTGGGTGTCCGAGGCGATGTTGACATGAAGGAAGTCGTATGAGGAAGAAATAAAATGCTACGGGGAAGTTGTGGAGCCAAGTTAAAAATACTGCAGAGAAGAGAGTGGAATGGCGACGTGCTACTGAATCCCTATGTTCCACTAAGATACTAAAGGATAAATAATAGTAATAATCACTCCCACCCAGTATGTTCCTCAATCTGGTTTACTGACATGTATTGTTTAAAATGCAGAATAATCATACAAAATTTACACTATAAAATATTGAATTGATGAAAATCATTACAAATCAACTTTTACATTGTATAACTTTAAACACTTTCGTAACAATCCTTCTTGATATGTAAAGTTATTTTGAGTTAGTATCAACTTCTCTAATTCACTGTTAATAACTTTTGATTGAATTGATACATCACATGCATATACTCGCTTCAATATCATCTCCCAATTCTCATCGTAATCATCATATTCCTGTTCACGTGTTCGACCATCAACTTTCAGATAAGAACTTGTAAACAACTCACTGTTTGGTTCAGAATACTTTAAAAAGGTAATCAGTTGTCCTAACAAATTGTTTGCATCATCAGTGATGTTAGGTTTCGATGAAGTGGCAGTTAGATAACTGGCATCAGTATGGTAATAGAATGGATCTTGTATAATTTCATTCAGTCGACTTTTTAAGTTATTCAGTTGCTCAATATTAGGGAATAATCGAAGAACTTTACAATTCACTAACTTGATTGCAATCTTTTCAGCAATCTGTGTTTTCTGCCAACCACTTGGTAGGGAATTGACTCATCTCTCACTTCTCTTGTCAATGGTAGTTTTCCTGGACCGATTGTTCTAATATCTCTCAATGGATGTTTAAGTGTCTGTAGACAAGTGATCACATTGAATACACGAATTCGTGAAATCCATTGACCAGTTATCTTCATGACCATGATTTTATCGGATTGATCAACAATTCCATATCGATCCATTAAATCACCTTTTATTATTTGTACAGCATAACTGCTGTTGTCATTGTCGATAGACGTCTGTGAAGGTGTAAAACGATTTTCATGGTAGAAGTTGACAACAGCAGCAAGCATTACTTTCAAACAAGTGTCTATCATTTCTGGTCTTATAACATCTTGCATATCTACCTCAGACGCTAAATTCTCATTTGTCCATTGACCATAGAACCAATTGCCATCGGCTTCATCTATTGAAATTGAGTCTGGAACAGAGATGGATTCAACTGTGTCAGGATTTACAGTGATTTTGTTTTCTGAGCGTGGAATTTCACCAATCAGACTAAATGTAATCGTTGCATAAGCTGCATTTGCTAACCAGACTTTCATTGCTTCTGAATATCCTGCACCGACGGTTTTGTATACATAGGCAGCAGTATGAATGGCAACCAGAGACCAATATAGTTGAAGTTCCCGTATTGTACCCACTTCTGGTGTTGGAAAATATCTCTTATCAAGCATTAAATGCAATCGTCTTGGAAGTATAGGTTCACATTGTTTACTGATAACAGATTCAAATTGCCAATTGATTTTTGGTAGGTAGTTGAGCAATTGTCCACCCAATTCATTAATTATCCTCTGAACTTTTGGATTTGATGGTTCTTCCTGAAATAGACAGATAGTGGACTTAATGAGAAGATAAAATGAAGTCAGTAAAAACACAGGACCTCTACATTTCGATAGTGTAATTAGAAGATGAAGTTTATCTGAACAATGTGATGTATTTGCGCAATACATTTCGAACAATCTAATCACACATTTATTTGTTAAGTCAATATACATTAAACCGAGGACTGGTGGGGGGAAGGGGGGGGGTGGAGGACAAATACAACAGTTAACACAATGGGGGATTAAAATTAAGAAAGATGAGGACAAACAGGAAGTGATATATAATAATGATGAGCGTGGAATCTAGTATGCACATTCCGTCCTATTCGGAACTCGTCAACTAGATGTACCTGCCTCCCAGTGAGTGTCGTTGTCCCCACCGGGATTCGGACTCGGGAGCGACCGCTGCAAACGCCCGAGTGTCATCCACTATACCACTGAGCCACGAGTGCCACTTCTTGTGGCTGCTCATCATTACTATACATAGTTAAAAGACAGGCAATATAGAGGCATTCGCACAGCAGCCCATATGCCAACAGAGACTGATCAATTCAGTCCAATCAACGACTGTGTAGTACAAGCAATAACACTAAACCTATACCCGTTGCACAAGAAGCGGCTTCTGTGGTTCGGTTGTATAGTGGATGACACTCGGGCGTTTGCAGCGGTCGCTCCCGAGTCCAAATCCCGGTGGGGACAACGACACTCACTGGGAGGCAGGTACATCTAGTTGACGAGTTCCGAATAGGACGGAATGTGCATACTAGATTCCACGCTCATCATTATTATATATCACTTCCTGTTTGTCCTCATCTTTCTTAATTTTAATCCCCCATTGTGTTAACTGTTGTATTTGTCCTCCACCCCCCCCTTCCCCCCACCAGTCCTCGGTTTAATGTATATTGACTTAACAAATAAATGTGTGATTAGATTGTTCGAAATGTATTGCGCAAATACATCACATTGTTCAGATAAACTTCGTCTTCTAATTACGCTATCGAAATTCATAAAAGGGTCTAACTGTTTCATACTTCTATATTATTGATTATTGAGACGGGGCAAAAATTAGAAGATGTATAACCTTAATATATTTTTTTCAGTTAGCTCTTATCACGCTATTCTCAGAAATAAATTTCTCTTAGGTATAAAGCAGTGAGTTAATCACTGTAAATTCTTTAGTCTCTTGTAAAAAAATACTGAAGTATGGTAATAGTAACTATCCAGATAATCATCATGGGTTATAAAGTGGTTGTATTCTTATTTTTCTGAATGGAAACAGTATACTACCCATAAAAGGAGGTGCTCCACTGAAGTTGGTGTGCCTCAAGGTGCTGTACTTTCTCATTTTCTATTCTTCTTCTTTTTGCATTATTTACATTATTCTGTTGAAATTAATTTTATTAGGTAGCCTGATGACCCAACTGTGTCTGTTCCAGTTAACTCTCATTTAGATTGTTCTGAATTCAATGGATTCTTGTCTCTTATTGACCAATCGTCTCTCTCAAATAGTTTCAAGTTAAACCCTTCTAAATGTCAAACTGTTAGTTTTAGCCTAAGGCATAGACAAGACTTGTGTGAGCTGCTTAAATCGCATGATGCCTGCTGCATCTATGGTATATCTGCAGAAAGTAAATCGAGTGTGAACTATCTTGGGTTGGGCTTTACTTCTGACCTTTGTTGGTCGCCCAATATTTTGTTGACTTGTAAAGAGAATCTTTCGTTTAACATATTACACAAAGAAACTGAGGCTGTCTGGTATAGATCAAACCCTACCTTTACAATTTATTAATCACTGCATTTTACTTATTCTTCTGTGTTGTTCCCCGTTGATCTTTCCTGATCTACTAAAAAAAGGACTATGTTATATATTGCGGAGGATTTGGAAACCTGTCAGCAGGTAAGTGCTATGCCATGCCATGGTTAAAATGATCAGCATGGTAGCTGACAGACATTTAAATTCTAGCAAGCAACCAACTACAGTTATTTTAACTGATACTACACATTCACTACATTCACAACTCTCTTCTTGTATCTCCTCAGGGAGGACAAGAAGAACTCACATAAGACTGTACGCTTTTACAACTGAATGTAAGAATTCGACTGTATCTTACCCATCAAGTATATTTTATGAGGAAAAAAAGTGTTAGAACAGAACTCACAAATCAAATTTCTAACAGTTAACAACCATATTTCAATAATTTTACTAACAATGTAAAATTTTCTCGTGTTTAATATTCCTTACATTACTTAAATTTTTATAGTAACAATTCTAAGTGTTATCGTGGAGTATATACATACATACGTTTGTTGTTGTTGTTGGTATTTATCACGCTTAGAATTTCAAGTTGTACCATAAATTGTTTGCAATAAAGTGAATTATTACTATTATTATTATTATCATTATTATTAGTTGGAGAACCATTGAAGGCCTGGGAGTATTGAGCAGCTGATATCAGCCCGTGATAAATACTTCCTTAGAATAAAACCCCTATACACCTGAAACCACAATACTGTGTAGTGTATAGTGAGATACTTTGATATGGATTTCTCAAAGTTTTAATGAGAAGCCGTGACCTATGAGGTCCTAGTTAGTCAGAAGTGAAGCGTACACCAACCGAAGATGTTAGTGGATAGTAGGGCTATATAATGAACTAACAGAAGTAGGGAACTGTGAACCACGAGGTTGGGACCCAGTGGTTGATTGGCTTACCAGCTTGATTCAGTGCCGAAAGATCCTGAGTTCGATCCCTGGTGGGATCCATGGCAAGTACTACCTTGAGAATAAAGTCGTCACCTTCAAAGCACGATAGTTTCAGTATTTACTCCAGTTATGATAAGAATAATGTGCTGCAGATAGTGGGAAAATCAATATAGGTCAAAAACTTAGCAGAACAAAAGCAGAATAGTACCGAAGACTGAAGTATGTAGATAATCACAGCTTAGACAAATAAGACATATATGTGAGATTTGGTGGAGAAAGTGAAAAGGGTTTGGGAAAATCAAAGATATCTTTGAAACCGTTCATCAAGATTTCTGTCGCTAAGACAGAGATATGTGATATACAAACGTTTTCTGTAGACAAAAGCTAGGCTTGTTGTTCGTAATCCCCATAGCCCTCAGTAATTCAACATGTGAATAAGAAGACCATTTAAAAATTTTTATGCCATGAATAATTTTGAATGTTTTCGTCTTATCGATAACACGACCACTGTTGACCAAATGAGACGGAACTGAACTTCGTATTGACTCCACTTTCCAGTTACTAGCCACTAGGGTAGGTACTAACCAACACATTTATTAAGTTGTCTAGTATTGTGCCTGATATAACTTTCTCCATAGGAGCAGTTGAATTGGCAAATACATATAGAAGTGGCAGAACTTGGTAGCTTGTCTTTTGTCCGAGTAACATTCATTGGCTGATTAGAAAATGATAAGCAGCGGTTAACAGAATAGAAGGCTCTTTTCTGGCTCTAGATAGCCTAAACAGCTTGCATATAGGGAAATCACCTTGTTACTAATGTCAAGGTTACACGAAGTTTTCCAGGAAAGAAGAGAAGTCATTCAATGAGGTTGTGCACCTTCAGAGAGTGAGGTGGCTTGGACATGTCTAGACGCCACCTACCTCGACATGCCATGCTACGGGAAGCTGGATTGTGTTGGAATAGGGTTCAAGGTAGCCAGATTAAAACGTGGCACCAGTTTATGAAGTCCTTGATTTTTGATCTGAGCAGTATGGCAAGATGCATACTGACTGGCTAGGGTACCCGAAACGAAAGGAATCAGTGGTTGAGGACTCTTGGTGATGTGGCTGGAAATCGGTCACTATGGTTCAGATGTATTCACACCTTGATGTCTATTAAAGCTTCAGTGTTTTGTCTAACCTTAGATTTTAGGTTCCTTCCTGTCCTTTCTATCCACTTCTTCTCTGAGATGCATTTGTGTGCAAAGTTCTACATTGATTTTTTCTGTCCGTCTGTCTAGAATAAGACTGTACTACACGCATCTCCATTAAATTGGAGTAACAAATTATTTTGAGCAGTTACTTGTTCAGATCCCCTAATCATTTTGAAAATGTGACCCTTTATAAAACTATACGAATAGCCCATTTCTACCAGCATATTATAAATGTATTCTATCTCCTTTCGCATTGAATCATTGGAGCAGATCTTTCTGGTTCTTTTCAAAAGACATTTAACTAAGCTTCCTTTATACCTAACGTATGTACTTACTCGTAGATATTGTTCTACAGCATATCCTTCTGTTCATTGACTAACCATCTCGTCTAACCAATAGAATATTTAGAAAGTGTAAAATATTTTCATGTTTTTCTTCAGATGTGGAAGTGAGTGAAGCATGTAAGTTGATAAATTTCCTTAGAAGTTTTTTTTAACCAAGGATAATGCAAGTGTCATGAATATAACGTCGTTGTAAACATCCAAATTGTTGATGATATCCTTCAGCTGTTCATTCTCTGGTCTACCAAAAAATGCCTAGCTAATATTGAAGGCCTAAGGGTGGACGAATAGCAGTTGCAATAATTTAAGATCGTTGAAGAGGAAATTCACATTCATAGTACATCAAGGAAGTAATTACTTGAAACTAGGATCTAAAAGTCCAACATCAATCTGTGTTTTTGATAACAACTGAAAAATGATTTCCGCAATTTCATTAAGGGGTAAATTGATGAATAAAAGAAGGTGGTTCTTGTACTCCAGTGGTCTAGTGAATAACACTATGGCCTTTGAAGTTATCAGTATTAGGTTCGAGTCTCAGTGGGAATAATACGACTCACTCGGGAGCAAGAACATTCGGCTGATGAGTCCATATAGGACGAAACGTACTTCTTGATGAATACAAAAAAAAGAGACAACTAGAGATATAATATGTTTTCTTTGTTGTATCATATTCGTTGAGCTGAGTGATTTAATCGCGAGGCTTTCACTGTCTTTCTTGATAATATCATCAGCACTGACTTCAATATATGAATTCCTTATATAATATACTTCCCGTTCATATTCACCTGTTTCATCTTGCAACTGAAGTTGACTATATCTTTAACACCATTCTTTACAACTTATTTGTGGAGGGGTTCAAAGACCCCTAGTAAGTACTTCGCGATTTTATGATAAAGGGAATTGGATATATCGAAAACCAGACGAAGAGGAAGTTGCAGATTATGAACTTTAGGTAGGTGATATGACTGTGAGGTGTATCACCCTGTAAGTTCATTTGCATTGTATGTATTTGTAGAAATTAAACCGTCTTGTTTTAGTTCTTAAGGAATAATCGTTAATTGTCGTTTAGTCGATGGGTACCAGTGAAACACATAATGTACATTTCATTCCATTTGCGACTTGTCAACTGAGTCTACCTGCACTCCAGTGAGTGACATTGTTCTCACTGAGACTTGAAGCATGTACCCGTTGCTTTAGATGCCCAAGCGTTATCTACTAGGTTACTAAAGTATAAGAGTCATTTGCTGTGCAGCTGTTGTTTGTTGATACCTGAAATTTCACTTTACTATCCCGAGTCGAATTCTTCGACCTCTGTTATCAGTTAGGCTCCTATACGGATGCCTGAAGACAGTCTGATTATTCTTCATGCTTTTTTTGACTGTTAGCCACCAAGTATGTTTCCAAAGACAATTTCTTCACTACATTGAAGCTTCCTTTAAACCAACCGCAGCCAAGACTTTTAAACTGAACCACTGGATCGACGTTTGCTGATTGACATTGGTGTTGCATCTGTTTAAGTTTTTTTGGCACATCATGAAAGTCAGCCATGGATGATGAATGAAGTTGAAAAAAGTCAAAGATATACTCGATGCAACGCATAAATACATGCGTTTTATGCGTAATGAAATGGCACACATACATTTATGCTGTATACCGAAGAAGGATCTTATGACCAGCATGAGTTTGCTGTCAGAGTTGTAGCTAATTAGTCTAGATTGATAACTTTCAATCAGTGGGTTTCCGATTCCAGGTGCAGTTCACCACCTACCGAGGTTTTGGGGGGACAGAGTTCATGGACGAGTGTGCTATGAACTCGAATACTGTAGTTATATCTTCAGAAATCAAATAATAACAGATAAGATGTGATTTCCTGAAGTTCTAATCAAAAGTCATAACCAGTGGGTCAAACCGATTCGAATGTGAGGACAGTTACTCATCGATGGTACATAAAGAAGGTCAGGCGTCATATAGCAAACTGACAGAAGTAGGATAATGCAGATCATTGGATGGCTGACTGGCAACGTGCTTGTTGCGAAACCTGAAAGTCTTGGGTTCAATCCATGCATTTGCGATGCGATTTTCACCACCCAAATGCAAATTTTTGCTCCAGGACTGGTCTTCAGCGGTACCGCGGTTAACAATAGAGAGTGAAGTGGTTGAGTGTGTTGACCACTTCACTTACCTGGGAAGTAGGATCAACCCCTGTGGGTTAGTTGCCGATGAGATTTCTGCACGGATACAAAAGGTTCGATTGGCTTTTGCCAATTTGTGCCACCTATGGCGCCGCCGTGACATTCGTTTGTCTGTTAAGGGTCGCGTGTACTGCACAGCAGTCCGCTCTGTTCTACTGTATGGCTGTGAAACATGGCCATTGAAAGTGGAGGATACAAAAAGGCTTCAGGTGTTTGACGACCGTTGCCTTCGTAGTATAGGACGTAACCCATGGTGTCACAACGTGAGTGAGTAATGCAGAAGTCAGGTGTAGAGCTTTGGGGAGAAGAGGTAAGTCAGTCAACGAGGTTGTGAACCTTCATCGACTGAGATGGTTGGGACACGTACTACGTATGCCTAGTCACCGATTGCCTCGTCACACAATGTTGGCTGAGGTGGGTCCAGGCTGGAAGTAGGCCCGAGGTGGCCAGACTGAAACATGGCACCAATGTATGAAGTCTCTGACTGTTGGTTTAAGCCATGTAGGACGATGCAGACTAGGTGGTTGGGGTCCACGGGACAAGAGGAACCAGTGGTTGCAGACCCTAGGTGATATGGCTCAGAACCGAAGTCAGTGGTGCAGATGTATACACACATTATCCTCATCTTAACGGTGCTATACCGAATCTCACCATTTTGTCACTCCTCTTTCCTTTCTTCTCGTACTTTATATTTCTTTAGACTGCATTCACTTATCTTCATCCTTCACCTCACTACCTTTTTACTTGATGTGCTGATATGACGTGTGGCAACTCGGACCGTTACGCCTGGTCCTATGTTGATAACAATGATGATGATGATCATGGTCGTGTCATGGATGCGTACTGCTGTGGAGTGGCATACTTTCAGGTCTTAATGGTTCTTCAAGTAATGTCAATTCATGATGAATACCCACCTAAAATAAATTTGAGTCTCCCAGGAATCACCATTCAATCTTATATCACAGTTCACTTAGGCAACAAGATCATGCCTCCTTAAAATTCTATCATGATATCATAAATTGGTAAATTCTTTGACAAAACTGAATAAGCCAAATCAATAAAAAGATTTTCAGTGTAAACCTGAACAAGTAGAAGAAATCAAATACCAGTAAGTAATTATATAAAAGCACATTAATTGAGAACATTCACATAAAAAGATAAATAAATCTCACATTCCCGTCGTTATTCCCCATTAACTTTTTGATCAGAGTGAAGAAAATCAATGTCATACAAAATAATAATCGATACGCCAAGATAGTCATTCATTGGCTGACAATTTATTTCACCTTGAAATCAAAAATTGATAATGACCAATAGGATTACTTCTGTTGTGTGTGTGTATACGTACATTGAACATTTAACAATTCGTAGTTAGAAAAAAAAATAGCATCACGTGAAGAACACGCATATGTGTGTAATTGAACGTGTTAAAAACACGGAGAACGTTTGATCAATATTTAAATTTATCTCTTCTCTCAAGAGCTATCGATTTGTATTCGTTTCTCAACATTCCAGTGTCAGTGGTTTATCTGACTAAATAGCTTTAGGAACGTTTTGATGAAATCATGTGAAATGCAAAGTGAACACAGAGAACTGGAGGAAAAGAACTTGTTAAGATTATCTTCAAATTTGTCACGATAACATCAGGACACCTGGAAATGATGATTCTTCTTTTGTCTAGTAGTTGGTCGTTGTAGTGTAATCCTTCAGAATGAATATCGATTTGGCTAATGTTTTTCAATTTTCCAGAAGGTCAGAGCGTATTCAGGAAACCCGCTTAAGTAAGTGACGTTGCCATTAAACTATTCAGGCCACAATCGACTCCCTAAACGAATGGATTGACTAAATCGTGATTGGTCATTGTAGCGTAACCAATTACATGTTGTCTAGGATCACCAACTACATCTTATCAGTGATCAGTACTGGGAAAGAGGAGGAGAGGTGCTTTATTCGACGAGTCGTTAATTCCGTGTACCTACATGGATGGTGGTAGGCATATATGGATTCGGAGACAGGATCCATGACTCTGAATCCCACAACTTTGACCATTCAATTACTCAGTCATCATAACTTCAGACTTCTTGATGTTGATTGTTCAGTCCGTAATCGAAGATTCCTGAAGAATCCCACACTAGGACGAAACATAAGTCGAGTGACCTCAGGTTCCAGTATTTCTCTAACTGATTTCAGTCCATGGTAATAATAAGTGAATCCTCACTTATCTGCGAATTGTATAGACCATTAACCAGTTCAAACACATGACTATGCTTATTATAACTCTACCTTGTGTGTAACACTCGGACTCCAGAGTTTGGGCACTAGCTTCTAATCCTATTGAGGTAACTGAAATGGAATCAAAGTTGGAAAATGACCTAGAAGGAATAACTACATTGGACTGCGATATATATATATATATATATATATATATATATATATATATATATATATATATATATATATATAACCTCGCCTAGGTAACTAGTTCACTAGTTAATAGCCGGTTCTAAGCCCGGGTGAAGAGGAAAGGTTGGACAGAGGGCTAGCAACCCTACTCCGCAAAATCAACCCAATCGCTACAGAAACTTCAAAGGACAGACAACGCACAAAAAAATAAAAAAGTATTCCTCACTGGAATCGGAGAGGCGAAGTGACGCCGGTTGGTGCAAGCCTTCAGGAAGCCGATTGGCCTATGTGTCTTCTCTCTATGAGAGCGAAAGTGAGCGTGGGGACTTGGAATGTCCGCACCATGTATGAACCTAGCAAAGCTGCCCAGATAGCCAAAGACACGAGGAAGTATGGCATTGAAGTGCTTGGAATCTGCGATTAATCTGAAGATGGAATGGAAGTGCACTCTGCAAACTGTCAAATGGAGGGTTAATAATCTACTTCGATATTGTCACCCACACGACAACCACTAGCACACTGAGTTTTGCAGTGGCTATCATGATGTCCCCAAGAGCGTCGAAGGCTCTCTCTCTCTCATGCAGTGGGAACCAATCTCCTTCTGTAGGATCAGATCATGACAGCCAGATTCAACTCGGAAGGGAGGAAAGTCACAATCAAACAATGCTACGCTGTGCACCTACAAATAATGCAGATGGATAGGAGCAAGAGGAATTCTACAAACAACTGCAATCAGTGATGGACAAGACTCCTTCCCAGTTGGTGACATCGAAATCCTAATGGGTGGGTTGATATGAATGCGAAACTGCGAGAAGTGGACAACACAGGAAGAGAATTCGTCATGCATCAGGAAGCACTCGGTGAAATGAACGAGAATCGAGAACAGTTTGGAGACTTCTGCGCATTCAACGATTTGATGATTGGAGGCGAGGCAGTGTGTACAAACACAAGGATATTCACAAAGCGACATGGATTTGACTTAACGAGTCACCAGAACACACTACACTAAAATCAGATCGATTTCATCTCAATGTGAAGAAAGAGGGGAGACGCAGCCTACTGGACACACGATGAGATCGAGAAGCGGAGCAGATGTAGGTTCATACCACTCGCTATTTAGTCCAAGGAACCTACCTTCCAAATCAAGTTGAAAGCTTTCAAAGAAGTTGGTGATAGACCACAGTTCAAGTTGAACACCTGGAACAGAAACTGAAGGACAAAACTATAACGGACCTCTCCACGTCAGTCAGCCATCAGAACAAAATTGGAGACACTGAGCAACATGTCTGAAGGAACCTGAGTGGAAGAACACTGGAACTCTTTGAGAGAGATGTGGAAAGAAACCTGCATAACCGTATAAGGAAGGAAGAGGAAAAAAGTAAAGGGATGGATCTCGATGGACACATGGACGCTGATACAGCAGGAAGAGGAAGATGGTGATGGAGAAGCAAGAGATGAACCAGTGCAGTGCAGAAATGAACAAAGAAAAGAAGAACTGAGCACGACCTATAAAACACTGTATAAAGAAGAGTACGCGCAAAGACAAAAGACACTTCTACGACACACTGGAAAGTGAAGAAGAACAGGCTGCTGTTAGGAGAGTCATGACGACATTATACCAAATAACCAAAATACTATCTGGAAAGAGATCAATGCAGACGAAACCAATGGAAGATAGTGAAGGAAAGCTAGTTACCAAAGAGAAGAAACAAAGGAAAGGATGCGGTGACCACTTCAAAAAGCTCTTGAATCGACCACAACCCGCAAATTGTCTAGAAATACCACCAGCTACCGCAAAAATACCAGTGAACAAGCCTCCGGCAATAGCTGAAGTCCAGAACGGCATACAACTTCTGAAATCCGAGGAAGTTGTAGAACTATATGGAATCTCGCCAGAAGCGCTGAAAACAGATGAAGAGACAACTGCGGACATGCTCATATCACTATTGCTGAAGGTTTGGAAGGAAAGAAGGAAGGAAAGATACCTGCTGAGTGGGAGAAGGGTCACCTTATCAAACTCCCAAAGAAGGGAGACCTAAAGAATCGCAAGAACTGGCGAGGAATCATGCTCCTGTCTGCTCCAATCAAAATATTTAGCTGCATCATCCTGGAGAGACTAAATTTGAATGCACTGGATTTAAAATTACGACCGGAGCAGGCTGGCTGGATTCAGGAAGAACAAATGATTTCCGGATAAAATTACAACGCTACACTACGCATTATCATAGAACAGAGCATAGGTTGGCAGTCAAGTTTTTCCCAGCGAATTCGTCGATTTCTAAAAGGCTCTCAACAACGTCGACTGAGAAGAATTATAGAAACTGCTTCAACGCTACACTTTCAGTGCCACAAAACTTTATCAACCTCATTCAACAGCAGCTATATGAAGACGCCATATGCCGAGTGATTCACAATGGAAAGCTCAGTGACGTCTTTGAAGTGAAGACAAGAAAGAGTAAGGCAAGATTGGCACCTACTATCACCAGCAATATTCCTGATCTGTTTTTGCGTTGACTGGATCATGCAGCAAATAATGAGGAGTCAGAAGATGGGCAAACGCTAACTGGACCGGTGGAAGAACCCAGAAGAAGATTTAGATTTCACCGATGATGATTTATGTCTAATGTCACACCAACTCGAAGATCTACAGGCAAAATACAACAAGTTGGCAGAAGAGTCAAGGCAGCGAAAACGGCACTTCTTCCAGGTGAACGTAGAGAAGGCGGAGGTGAAAACGATACCTAACCAACAACAGCATCAAAAACAAGCACCAATTACCAATAACGGGAGAAATCTAAATTAAGTAATCTCTATCACCTACCCAGGCAAGGCAGCATCGTCTCAACTACAGGCAGCACAGGCACGGATGTGGTTGTCAAAGCCACACCTGGAAACGCAGCATTACAGGCTTTCCTTCATTAATCTGAAATCAAATCAGTATGGAGATCTACTCCACTCCACTCCACTCCACTCCACTCCACTCCACTCCACTCCACTCCACTCCACTCCACTCCACTCCACTCCACTCCACTCCACTCCATTCAGCATAAAGCGTCAACAACATTCGGATATTCAACACCACTAATGTCACTCAACTAAGTCAGTGCTTCTATGTGATGGTTGACAGACTAAGCACGTGACGAAAAGCATTCTCAACAAACTACAGACATATATCATCAACACATGTCCCCTACACTCGCTCCATTCTGAAGATGAGGTGTATGACCAGAATAATAAGAATAAGCAAGGAGGAATTCTGTCTGGCCTGACAACGAAGCAACGAAATCATAACACATCGTACAACAAATGTGAAGAAGAAGGTGGAGATTTATTGAGCATACATTGAGAAGACTGATTGGGGACATCATGCTCCAGTCCATGCTGGGTTTTCGAGTGGAACCGGCATGTGAAACGATGAGTTGGGCATCTGAGGCGAGAGTGATATGGAGGAGATCGTATGAGGAAGAAACGAGAGCTTGTGGGTAGTGGTGGAGCCAGGATGGAAAGACTGCAGAGAAGGCAGTGTAATGGCGACATGCTACTGAATAACTATGTTCCACTAGGAACTCAAAGGACCAACAATAAAGATGATAATAATAATATAGCGAATAGAATAGTCTTCTAGACCGTATTTCATCTTATTCCTCATCAGTAAAGGGAATTCGGTTCAACGCTTAAGTAATCCTGATACAACTTTTACTTTATGATGCAATCATTTGAACAAAAAGTGAAAACCAGAAATGGAAAATGTAGTTTTCTAAAATTCGCTACTTTTGTGTAGCATGAAAGTAAATCTCGATGCCTAATAGAAATCCGAGGCCTTGAGTTATAGGGTGTTCATCTTACCTTTAATATACAAGTAATGATCTTGGGCGCGAAGACTC